CCTACACAATCCCCGTCTGTACGTTTGCTTGCTCCGTGATTTTCAGGGCTTACCTTGAAGCTGACGTTCGCATATTGCGACGAGCGATAAATATTGCCAGAAATATCAGCGGCATAAATTGCAGATCCATGGCTGCCAAATTTTTGAAACAAGAACAGAACTAAACTGTTTGTTTAAGGTATTCAATTCTGAATGACGGAAAATACTAGTTGTATGACTTGCTCTTTCTCTGCATCTCAAAACATGAAGCTACCAGGAGCAAGTTCATACGTGTCTATGCAATAACCGAAAGTTACAAATGCTTAGTAATTCCGTTCATCGCTCACGTTATGCAACGTCGAGCATCGACTTGCACAACTTAAGGAGAAAAACTTTCGTGCTGATTTTTTTCTTTTGTTGATTTTGTTTTAGTTTAAACTTTCATATATTTAGCCGCATTGCTGATAGACGTGAAATTATTAGCTGTCATACCCCAGAATAATAAAGCTGGTTGATCGATTGATAAATGGTATTAGGCGTCTGTTTGGCATAGGCGTATTCAGGAAGAAAACCATTTTACTATGAAACTGAAAAAGGCTAAAAGAAATAGCAGTGTAAAACCTATTTTACTGAGTATATTTATCAAAGAAACAAAATTCCTGTTTGAATGGGACCACGTTTTTGCTGCATTTATCAGCTTTCTTCAGTCAAGTAATGAAACTCACTTCCGATGTTAGGTCATTATTGATTCTGATCATAACTAATATTGGTCTTGACTATCTACCGTCTCCACTCGTCATCTTCGACAGATGAATTCGCAGGTTGCGATTGTAGTAGATTGTTGTACCTGTTACATGATTATTGCGTGATCGAACAATGAGTACATCTTATAATGATCATTACGTCAGTTGGATCAGTTGCATCTGTCAGCAGAAATACACTCTGGAATGTTTCGTAGGCTAAAAGTCAGAAAATCGATTCGCTATTCGTCTTCAATCGAAATCTGGTCGTTTTCCTTCGCTAATAGCTTCTTGACTTAAGGAGAACTCTGGTGTTCACTGAGTTCATAATCCACTTGATAGATTCTGACACATGCGAAAATAAGGCATGTAGTTGGTAAGTGCAAATTCCTACTTTGTTCCAAGAGTTGTCCAGTTATACGCCTCGATGCTATCAGGATAAAATTTTTAGGTATACATTTCATTCCATACCATACCTCCTTTCGAGTTTCAGTGTCAGAACGCAGGCGGTGGACACGACCCATCAGATATTTAACCACTCGGGACTTTATGGCACTGTAGGGGTTTGACCTAAAATTCAACTAGTGCTCTAAGTGTGTAGGTTTTCAGTTCTTCTGTACACCATTGTTGACATTCCCTATGCACTGGTTGGTTATTACTGATAATATCAGACATCCTATCGCGACTCTACCGGTCAAAGACAAAATTTCATGCATTTAAGAATTTTCCATCGTTGTTCATGTCTACGACGAGGTCAAGTTTCTTGGGATTAATACTAAAAACGACCTATTGCTAGCGAAGGCCCCATTTTATCTACATAGAAACAGCCGTTTTATAGTGATAATGAACTAGGTAACATGAGCAACCAGAATCTTTTGCAGCTACTTTAATTCCTGTTAAAAATCTCGATGTGTTTCCATAACACTGTCACTTTTGCTCATGTACCAGACGCTTTGAAAAGTCTCTGGGCTACGTTGTCTTTTGGTAGATACATTAATTTAAACTTAGATAATAGATAGTTGATTCATGCATAATGGACGATAAAATGTAATGGGTTTTAATCTCTGCTAGGTATTCCGTCATGAACTAACGGTAACATTTTCAGGCCAACTGGAACATGAGTATGCTGCAGGGCGATGATGTGGTGAAAGCTATTACTGCAGCCGTTATGAAAGAGAAGACTCCACCAACATTTGACAAATTATGAATAGTTTATTCATGTTAGCTTATGTTTAGTATATAATTTTGATTGGCTAGTGTAATATATAATCTGCATTACTTTTCTTTTGACGAAAAATGTCTCTAACCCTGCCATAAACTTATTGACTGCCTTGCTTTTGTTTTGTCATTATGATTTTTAACCACTTGCGAAACGACATATCCCTAAAATTTGCGACGGCCTCACATCTCAATATTTTGCTTTTGGCATTAGAAGAAAACCTCCCTAATCGATAGCAGATCACCGATCGTTTAGTGCTCTATGCTGTGCTGATCACTGATACACTGTCACCACGTGGTTAGCAACTGGCAAGCCAATGAGAATTGCTTGCTTCTTTGTAGATGATCGGACCATGCCAGTTCTTTTGTCGAATGATCTTCAGGTATGCCCGTGATGTTAACTGACCCGAGAACGTCATAAAATCATTTGATCTTCAGCATGCATTTAATCCAGCGTTATTTGAGGCTGTTCATTCAGCATTGTAAGACTTGACTATTTTGTGGCGTTGTAAAACTTAACTATTTTGCCAGTTGCTTTTACAATCTATGCTTTAAAAGCGTTGATTCTGTACTTAATCAACTATCGATTTTTTTGCGTTGATATTGCTGTGGTAGTCGTCTTTAAAGAAGTGGCACAAAATGGCCAATTTTTACACAATATAATACACGTAGTTTGCTAGGTGACATACCGGTGCGGATGTTTCGATGATCCGTGTTTCAAGTCCTTTTCAAGGTAAAACAGGTGGTAACTTTCAGTTTCTGTCGAGGTTTTCTGCAACAACTGATTCGACTGCAACTGACACGCATCTCAGCTGAAAACGACAGCTTAACTTGAAAAGCCGGCAGTAAGTGACCGCCAAAATGAGTTGGCCATTTGTCTGTTCTCTGTAGCCAAAAAACTGCTACAATGTAGTTGATGACTAAAGTAATTTTATGCACTGTTAATCTCTCGGAGCTTATTTTTGCCTAATTTTTTGAAAATCACCGTCGATGAATTGCAACCTAATTCGGAAAGGACCAAATTAGTGCGACAGTTATGTGTAGGCAGTTTCAGGACACAAGGACAGTTTCCCTGATAAGAACATTTTCATTCTTCCAAAACTTATACATGCCATTTTTATTTTTCTGTTTATTTCACCTGGTCCAGTCTACGTTGCGGAGATCATTTGTGCCAGTGAG